CCCCAAAACCCCAAAACCCCAAAACCCCTAGGGATGTTTGGATTATTGATTGGATTGTTTTTAGTGTGATGAGGAGATTTTTGGGGTTGTGGATTAGTGGAGTTTGGGTGGAGGTATTGATTGGGATTGAGTAAAATGTTCGAAAAATCGTTCTTTTTAGTCAGGTCTTATCGGAAATGATGATATATTTAAGATAAAACTGTATCTTAAAAGTTTGAGGTCCTCAGACCACTTCTGAAGCTTTGCTTACCTATCCTTGATCATTTAAGTTAAATGCTCTATTGTCAGCTTTGAAAGAAAGATATGAATTCATCAGTTTAATATAAAAAATTTAAACCATAACAATCTTTGCTAAAAATTCAAAATAATGCTAATGCCAAAGAGATATCCCAGTTAAATAGTTTATGAAGCTGTTATACTAAGTGAATTGTGTGGTTTAGCAATCTACACGTTTTAACAAGGCATAATAGTAGACCAGTTAGATATCTTTGCTATCTTCCACAAGAAGTTATATCATAAACTTTTAATAAATTCTCAAGCAGCCAGATTAAACCTTCTTTAAAATTAAGAAGGATTTAAAGCCAGAAATTCCAAATGATTATGCTTATTTATAGAAGGAAGAGTTTAAAATTAGACAGAAGGCATCCCTGATCACAAAATTTATAAAGAAAAGTTTATCTCAGGTCTATCTAAGCCAGCATGTTTTCTTTCTATTATTGATCACAAAGAGCATCATTAAATTGACCTGAAAAAAACACCCTTAAACTCTAAAAATAATACTAAATTTCTCTCAAACATGCACAGCAAAGGTACCAATTTAAAAATAAACAAGCTGAACTGCCCGAATATTAGAGCTTAGAGTACAAAAAGATTATTAATAATAACATAAAACAGTAAAAAAGACTTTGCACACAAGAAATATTAAGCAGCCCTAAAAAGTATCGAAGTGTATAAACTCTTCTAAACCTGAGCCTCAAAAAAGAAAAAGGAAATTTTAATATTTTCGTCAGATTTTTAATTCTTCTTATCAAAGATCTTTGCACATTTTATGTAAAATTCAAGGAACTGTTTACTACTCATCTTCTAAATATCCTAGGAATAAAATATAGACTTTGAGATCATTAAAGACTGTTTATCATAGATGTAGTTATGAAGAAATTAATAAAATTGAGTTAATATTCTGTTAAAACTTCTACAGCTTTTTGGTAGTCTCGCTTTTGGACATACTCATCAATCATCTTATTCCTCTGATGAAGAACTTTATCGTCAACAGCATATTTTTCAGCAAGTTCAGACTTGACAAATTTACCACGAATCCTGGTCTTACCCCGAGCTGCATGGCTTCTTCCTTTGAATTGTTTGTTTACTGGTCATGTTCTTCTGTGCTTAGAAAGTTTGTGCTTCAGATGTTTAATTTTATTTCGGCGTTCTCTTTGGGTATAAAAACCTACTAATTTTCCTTCTTTTTGAGTGTACCAATGCTCTGGACAGAAAGAATCGTCGAACATTTTGGGCAGCTGAGTGTGCTCAGATAAAGATGCTGGATGGGCCTCATCACTCTTTATCTTTTCTTTAATAGTGTACCAGGCTAATCCTTTGCTCTTTTCACTCTCAAGAGGGGAGTTTCACTGAGTTTGAATACATAAGTTGTCCTTCTCAGTATCTTTAAAATATCTCTTAAAAGCTCCATCAGACCCTAATTTCAGCTTGCCTAGCCTGTTCAAACTTCTTCAACAATCCTCCTTCAAAACTTTAGCACATCCAAGATTCTGACTCTCATCCACCTCCTTCCTATCCCATTCCAATCTTCACTCCCTTCCCACTCACAAATCCCCCTGTCACCATCAGTACTCCCCAAAAATCTCCTGCACCTCCATGATCATCCTCTTCTTCCTTTCCTCAATCCTTGCTGCCTCATTCTTCCTGCACAGAGATCCCCTTAAACTCGCCTAAAGAGAAATAAAAAATCGTACGTAAAGCAGGGGCCATAAGTGAGGAAAGGACATTTTGACTGGCTTATTAGGTATTTTTAGAAGAAATGAGGCATAGACGTACCTGTGGTATTGTAAACATTATTGATTTTTTATTGGGGTTCAGCAGTGGAGGTATTTGTAGGGGTTTTGGGGTTTTGGGGTTTTGGGG